GGGGGGGGGGGGGGGGGGGGACTGTTCAGTGATTTGTAGACATACATCAGTATTTTGAACTGGATTAGAAAGTGAACCAGTAACCAGTGCAGTGAGGCCAAAACTGGTGTAATGTGCTCTCTTTTGCCTGTACTGGTTAAAAATAGGGCTGCTGCATTCTGGACCAGTTGTAGTCGTGCAATGGAGGTCTGACTGATACCAAACAGGAGTGAAATGCAGTAATCAAGCCTAGATGTAATGAATGCATGTATTACTGTCTTCAGGTTATTTTTAGACAATATGGGCTTCAGTTTAGACAGCCGCCTCAGTTGAAAGAAGCATGACTTAACGATCATGTTTACATGATTGTTAAGTTTCAGGGAAGGGTCCATTATCACGCCCAGATTAGTGACTCTTTGTTTTTTTGACAGGGTTAGAGCGAAGAGGTTGATGCAGTGGTTTGTGATCGTGTCATTGGGAGGGAACATCATGACTTCAGACTTCTTTTCATTGAAACTTAAGAAGTTTAAAGCCATCCAGTCCCTGATGTCAGCCAGGCAGTCGAGCAGCGGTTGAATCGAGCATGTACCATTATGTCTTAGGGGGAAGTAAATTTGACAGTCATCGGCATAGAAGTGGAAGGGCATGTTGTGTTTCCGGAAAATAGCACCAAGCGGCAGCAGGAATAAAAAGAATAGGAGGAGACCCAGGACGGACCCCTGCGGAACCCCCCATTTAAGCTCTGCCTCTGCGGAACTAAAATCCTTGATGGAGACACAAAAGGATCTGTCAGTGAGGTAGGATCTGAACCAATTGAGGGCAGACCCTGTGACGCCCACCCACTGCTCTAACCTAGCAATGAGGATCTCATGTAGATGGTGTCAAAGGCGGCCGTGAGGTTCAATAGGACAAGCAGCACAGAATCACCAGTATCTGTGGATCTGAAGATGTTGTTAAAGACCTTCAGCAGGGCAGTTTCAGTGCTGTGGAGAGGTTTAAAGCCAGATTGGAATAGCTCTAAGATGGTGTGACCTTCCAGGAAGCACTTCAACTGGGACTCTACTATTTTCTCCAGTACTTTAGAAACAAATGGGAGTTTGTAGACAGGCCGGAAGTTGGACACGACTGAGGGGTCAATGTTTGGTTTTTTCAGGAGAGGCTGGACAACAGCATGTTTAAATGATTTTGGCACCACGCCAGTGGATAAACTACTGTTTACTATATCAAGAATGGACGGACCTAGAGTTGGAAAAACCTCCTTTAGTAGTCGAGGGGGGACTACATCAAAGGGGGAACCAGAAGGTTTCAAGCTGCACATGACCTGCTCTAGAGAAGATTGAGTGATGGGTTCAAAATGGTCAAATGGAGCTACAGATTGAGGTGGGATGGATGGGTCATGAGTTGGAGGGGAAATGAGAGCCCGGGTGGTCACAATTTTTTCCAAAAAGAAATGTAAGAAGTTTTCGCACAACTCAGTCGAGGCTTCCAGAGGTGATGGTTCAGTGAGGTGGAGAACAGAGTTTAGGGTGGAGAAGAGGACACGTGGGTTGCGAGAGTTTGAGGTAATTATATCAGAGAAGTATTTGGATTTAGCAGCTTTCACTGTTTTCTGATAACGGCGCCAACTCTCTTTAAGTATTTGAAAAGAGACCTGCAGCCTGTCTTTCCTCCACTTTCGCTCCGCCCTCCTACATTGCTGCCTAACGGCCTTGGTGACGTCACTCAGCCAAGGTTCTGCTCTGAGTTTTGATTTTTTGGTTTTAACAGGTGCAACATGATCCAGAGTCTTTAAGCAGACAGAGTTGAACTGGGATATCAGCTCCTCCGTGGTGGTGAGAAACACCAGGGGCTGAATTATCGTTTCAGAGTTATAAACATCTGTGAAACGTGCAGCAGTGAAATGGTTAATTGCCCGGGTGCTACGTTCAGGAATGCACGACTTAGGAGTTAGATGGGGGAGGGTGAACTCAAACTGGACTGGCATGTGGTCTGAAAAAACATTATCACCAATAACAAGATTATTAACAGTCACATCATGAGTTAAAACAAGGTCCTGTGTATGTCCACGCTCTTGGGTGGGACCGTTCACATGCTGAGTTAAATTAAATGAGTCCAATAAATCTAAAAAGTCCTTAACCAAGGGCTTCTCAGGACAGCACACATGCAAATTAAACTCCCCAATAATCAAAACATGCTCATATTTTGGTGTGATTTCAGCTAAGAAGTCAGAAAACTTATTTATGAAATCCTTAGATCGAGGTGGGCGGTAGACGAGTGCAAATAACATCGGAGGTGAATGTCCGAGTTCAAAGACGCTCAGCTCAAAGCTGGCGCAGGAAACTGGGATGGGCAGTTGTTTACAGTCAAAAGTTGATTTGAATATTGTTAATAATCCACCACCGTGCCGGCCTGATGGCCGCGGGCGTTAAAATACAAACAGTTCGGTGGCAGTAATTCCGTCAAGGCGCTGGACTCACCCGGAGACATCCAAGTCTCTGTGATGCAGAAAAAATCTAACTCGAGCTCTTGAAAGTAGTCCCTGAGGATAAAAGTTTTGTTGGTAACCGATCTTGCGTTGGCCAAACACATACGGATACTGTCCAAAGTGGAGCCAGCAGCAGTAGAGTTAGAGCGCGCTAATGGCCGCAGATTTTCAATAACAGCCCCTCCGGGTCAGTCCGAGCTGCGCACCGGTTGACAACTCCCATTGGTTACCTGGTCCGGGCACGCGGGAAGCTGAAGATGAAAACCATGACTGCCAGCTGAAGAGGAAGATGCCGTGCGCAGAGCTTTAAGCTTCACCAGCTGACCAGCACGTTTTCCCGGGCGTCTGAAGCTATGTCTCCGGGCAGGGAGGTAAGGAGCCCAGCGGAGGTAAACTGGCACATCCACCAGCAGGGGGGGAGGAGGGGGCGGGGTCCAGAGGTACGCTGATAATGGTCTAGCAACTTCAGTGACAGAAAAACGAAAATCCAGAAGCTGTTGTCGGTCATAAATGAGGAGTGAATTCATGCCACAGATAAAATACAAACAAAACAGAAATAATCCGAACACCATCAGCAGAGGTGGATTGCAAGCCATGCACACGGGCGCCATCTTACCGGAAACTATATATATATA